TTAGGCTGGCCACAATAAAAGGCCACTCGAAAATGTGCAGTTCCATCACACAGCAAAATGCCACAGATGTCGCAAGTTTTGAGGGAGCGTGCAATTGGCATGCTGACTGCAGGAATGTCCACCAGTGAATTGCCCGTGAATTGAGTGTTTATTTCTCTACCGTAAGCCATGTGCTTTATAATTTTGTTCAGTGTAAATAAATGAATGAATAAAGATAGAATATACATGATATCAACAAAAGGACAGAAAAATAGGTTTCAGTTTCAGAGACACTTATGTCAAGGAAAGTACCATTTATAGAATATGGTTATACAGTCCTGCTCTTCGAGGGGGCTCTCAAAGAATTATGGACATTAGATCTTAGTCAACAATACCAAAAGCTTGGCACATAAGGAGGATACTTCTTGACACAGATGATCACCCTCTAGTGCAGTGGTTGGCATTAGGCAGCCCGCGGGCCAGAGCTGGCCCGCCAGCAATAGTATCTGGCACATGGCCAGTTGCTTTGATAGCATAAAAATAAAAATAAATAAATTGATAGCGGTTGGTGCTGAAATAGATCTCAGCAATGCTTTATGTCAAGTTTATTAAGAGCCTTTTCATTTGAAAAGTTCTGAAGGACATCCAGAAGAGTCTCTGGCTTGCTTGACACACCTCTGAAAAAGCCATCAGTAAATGTGGAAGCAATTTATTATACAATTCTAAATCTGTTTATAATATTTTGGGTTTGTGCATTAAGTTATTTAAAGGGGCTAAATGTAGTTTTTCAATGAAATTACTTATTAATAAATCACTTTTTTACTTCCTTTTTGTTAATGAGCTCTGCCCTCACTTAGAACTGAACCACACGCCTGTTTTCTCTCTTATTTGGAACAGCCATTATTCTGCTTTCATATGTGAAGGAACCGGGTCAGGATGTAGCCCTGTGCGCCAACTACAGCGACAACATCGCAGCTAATGAAATGCAGTCCACTAACACCATAAACACATAACACAGACTCCAACATAAACTACATTAAGGATTAAGTTTTATTCACTGAAGCCTGTCCAGCCAAATGAGAATCTTATAACGCAACCCATATTACTATCCTGTGTACCACCGGTATTATGTCAAAGTGTTGATTTTAGCCTGCAAGAAATTATGTAACGGTACAAAGCAAATGTTAATCGATTTGTTTATACTAGCCTATAGTGATGTAAGGAAGGCCAGCCAGCTAAAGTGAGCATGTATCTATCACTGCTTCATAACTTTCAATTCAGATTTATTGTCGTTTTACCGATACTCAGGTACACAGCTTCTCCACCGTCTCAGTCTCCATAACCTACATGACCCACATTATATACAGTAATACAACATAATGGCGCAGGACAACAACACAGTGAAAGACCCATTCACTACAGTAATGTTACTTACTGCGGTCTAACTGTTATAAAGTGTGGCAACAATCTCATTATGATATTCAGTCTAGCTCACTGGATTTGATATGCTTCTGAGTCGGGAATGTTTGTGGTAACGGCCGGAACATGCCACATGCCGGTGTTTCCACGTTTATTGTGGGATCTCTGTATGACCTGGTTCCTCACCATTAGTGGCCGCTGAAAACTATATATTGCCCCTTTGAGTTACAGGTTAAGTTATTTATTCCTTTTTTTTATTTGCCTGTTACTCAGTTCATCTCAGTTCCATAGAGATGTTGTTGTTTTTAATATTTTATCTCTGTATGTGGTGAAAGCTAAGCACTGAAATATCTTTACACTCGTCTTGCTTCCAGTCACTACCCCACTCCTGCTAATGTCAATCACAAAACCAGACAGAAGCCTCGACTTGACTGCCAAACACATTCTCTCTGCCACAGTGATTAGTGACAATTCAGACAAAAACATCCTCAGCATATAATTTGAGAGCAGCGAAAACTAAGTGACGCTGTCAAAGATAAAACTGGTGACCACTGGGACATGTGACATTAAATGTGAAATGAAATCATTAGTTACGCTTAAGTAGCTCTCTGCAAAGACCGCAGACAAGACTAAAAAAAGAGCAAATACATATCTTTACCTCCTGTATCTCAAAAATATCTTCCAGTCTTCCACTTTACATTACAGAGATGATTGACAGAATAAGACTTAAAAAGTAGACCATACTGTAAAATGTATCATAAGGGAAGACTCATCTACTGACTGCTCTTCATCAATGAGGTACTACCATTACATCCACAATTAACTTCCACTCTGAAAACCTGAATACAAAGTAACAGCAGCTAATTAGACAAACAGATCATCCTTCTTGCAGGGGCATCAGGATCAGTGGAAAAAGTATAATGTCCAGTAGTTAAGGCGAGAATTAACAATTAAAACCAACAGCATTTAAAAAGGTTAGGAGATAAATATTTCACATGGCCACATGCTTGCAGGGGCTGAGAAATGTCATCAGCATACTAATTAACATTGCATGTCTGTTTAGGGGTCTTTGGTCAATATATTTTTTCTCGATTAACTTTGCCAACCACCATTTTTGCCTCTATGCTAATTCTTGCAGGTATGCATTCATACAGGGCGGATTCCTCAAACGGCTCCTTAGACAGGTTCTGTGTAGTCTGTTCATTAATGGTTTATAGTAAATAGAACTGTCTATCACACTAGTGAAAATGTCAGTTGAATAAACAGAAGCATGAGACTGATAAATCATAAAAACTAATAGATTTCCGTAATTTTCACAATTTTTTGAAAACTCTTTATTGAACATGTTAAAAGACAACAACAAATAAGCAAAATAAAAACAAACAATCAACAAAAAAGATCATCAGTAGATGATCCAAATAACAGTCATGTTCAAAGGGAGTATGTGGGGGGGTGTTAACAACTGCATCTGCAACTACAACCGAATCACTAAGCCTCCTTTGAATATCATGCTGTCTTGGTGTCCGCTCCGGTAAAGGTCTCTGTGATTTTCATATACCGTCCACCTGGACAAATGGGTAACTTTGTGGACAAGCTAGACACACTGCTGTCTTCAATTCCAGAGCAGGCTGTCAGTTACTTGCTCTCTGTGACATGAACATTCGCTTAGACAAATCAAACTCAGCAGACTTCCAATCTCTGATTAGTCCTTTGATCTAGAACAGGTTCTCAGCCCCCTGACCCACAAAGCTGGCAAGGTGCTTGATCTTGTTCTTGTCCGAATCTGTGCCACCGAAAGCCTAACAGCCACACCTCTACACAAGTCTGACCACTATTTCACCCAGTTCATGGTACGCCTACAGGAACAGCCTGCTGTTCCAGCACCATATGTCTTATATGCCACAGCATCTGCTCTACCTCCCCTCAACACATTTTCCTCACTTGTGCCCCCATCCTCTGTCACAACCAGCATCAGTGTTGCCAAAACTGTGTTCTATAATGACAGAACTGGCAGTGCCACTGACTCAAGAAAATTATTTTACACTTTGATACGCAACTCCACTTATCCTTCCCGCCAGACGACCCAATCATCTCGGTGCAGATCTTGGACTGTCTCTTGGACATATAATCAATCCACAATAACGTCAAACTACAAATTGGCTCCTCAACCATCACTCCAACCAGGGTGGTGATAAACTTGGGTGTCATGATTGATGACCAAATGTCCTTTTCAGACCATGCTGCTGCTGTCTCGGTCGTGCCGCTTTGCTCTATACAACACAAGAAAAATCTGGCCCTACCCTACTCAGTATGCCACCTAGCTTGTGGTACAGGCCATGGTTATCTCTTACATTTGAGGAAGAACAAATAAGCATCAATAAGGCATAAATGCAGTTAGAGATGTACAGGCCATAGTTATCTCTCGCCTCGACTACTGCAATGCCCTCTTAGTAGGTCTTCCAGCTTGTGCAGTCAAACCCCTACAAACCCCTAACCGCTAACATGCACTTCCTGTGCTCTTCTTCTTCTCCCTGTTATTCTAATTCTCTTATTCTTTTGTATTGATTGCACTATTTCTATTAACTTTGTTAACTATTACTTCTTTCCCTAGGTATTTACCCCATTGATGCCATACGTGCTATTAGCTCTCAATAGTATTCATTGCTGCGATTACTAGTATGTATTGTCACTTGTCGATCTTTTACTGTATTTTTGCTTTATTAATGCTTGTATGTTATTCCTCAAATGTAAGTCACTTTCGATAAAAGCATCTGCCAAACGAGTAAATATAATGGGAAGGACAGTGGGACCAGGTTCAATCGAACTACGATGAGATACAATATTTTATACATCTTGGGCGGATTGGATTGGTCTGATATCAAGTAAGTGGAAATGCAACCAAGAACCGTTTGTTGCCCATAACACCTCAGCAAATATTTTGAGACACCGCAGACATTTTGACTTGGCATAAATACAGTTAGATACAAGGCATAAACACAGTTAGACATGTATTAGCTGGAAAAGCACTGGTGTTAATAATAACATTAACGATGGTTCCGTTCTATTCAAGTGTCATAGTAAATCATGAAAAGCACAATACCAGGACCCTGAAACTGAAGCAATTCAACTCAATTCAATCTAACTTTATTAGCATGAATGTAAATCAACAATATTGCCAAAGCTACAAATAAGCAGCTAAATGGAATTCTGCCATCATTAATTTAATTACACCTGCAAGCACCTTGCTCTCCAAGCAGAATCTGTGTTGCTGCTTGGATTCTTTTAGAGCTCCTTCGAAGAGCAGAGCCTTTCTACAAAATCTACTGAATGACCATTGCTATAAATGGTCAATTACTTGACGTGTCCCTGGCTGAACTAGGCAGATCGTCAAAATGTGTAAATACATCCATCTCTCTGAGCTGCACACAACTTAACGCCTCCCAAGTGTAACTACGTCAGTAAGCTGTCTGTGGAGCACTGTTGGGGACTTGCAGCTGATAATGGCAGCTTAAATGACACTTAAATTGGCCATTTTTTTTCCTGTTACATTAAATTAAAACACAAATTGAGGCCTATGAGACACCTTGTTCTACAGCACTCACTTGGACACCAGAGAGAAGGCTTCAGCGCACACAGCTGGACATGGCACCAGCTTGATCCTCACGTGTTCTGCGACAGCCTTGAAATGCACCCGCGTCACCTTCTCCAACACTGAGGCAAGGGTGGCCACATCGCCAGCCTTTGTGCTGGGGTCTCCGCCTGCTGTGTCCAAGATGTTTCCCCCGTGCACCACCAGCAGCAGCACATGCGTCTTACATTTCCTCTGCAAGAGGGTTCACGTAGGGTTGAAAAGAGACACTTAAAAGGAGGCACTCAAAGGAAGGGAAAGAATAGAGGCAGCATTTTGTGAAAGCAGTGTAGCTGCATGGAAAGAAACACAACTGGGTACTTATGTTATTGGCTGCTGGTGTATATACTGAGAGGCTGTTCATAATTATCCTACCTCATTGTCCTCGAGTCCTTCGATGCTGCTCTGAGGGGCACATCGTGGACCACCCAGCTGGTAGAGACCCTCTGTATTGGGTAAGTAAGAGGAAGCAGGAAGTGGCAGAAAGAGGGAAGAATAAAGAGAGAGAAAAGGGGAAAGAAAGTGTCACTGCAGAAGCCACTTCACCCAGATGCACCGAGAACAGAAGCATAAATGGATATTGATTTGTGAATATAGTCAATGTTACTAATGCCTCTTCATCTCTCCTCATACGTACTCCAAACTGGGTGATGATGTACCTTTAGGCTCAAATGGCATAACCATAAGATTCAGAGATCAATACTGACAGTAAACAGCAGAACTGCAGTTGTTTCTCTGCTGCAGCATCTATAGCCACGTAATTAGATTTAGGATCCTCTGATGAAGAAAAAACGATAGACCTCTTTTCTAGAGACAAAAGATGAAGGAATGGGGACATTTTCTATCCCAACTATGACGACTCTCTCCCTCTCTCTGTGTGGTGCAGTATATCACAGGAAGCTGGCCAAACTCATTACCCTCTCCGGAAGCCTCTGCTAGCTGTGTCATCTTATTCCTGAGCTCTCTCCTGTCTCTCTTTCTATTTTCTCTCTCCGGGCTTAAGGCATGGCTGTGTGCGTTGCTTGTTGTTTATTTGTCCTCCTCGTCTGGGACCGACTGTCATGGGAGACTCTCACAGACTCACGCACTGTCATCTCCCTTCTACTCTATTTCCAGCCCACAGCCTGCCTCCGACTGCTTGCTTGTCTAGAACAGCTCACACAAGGGACTAAGCACACTGAACTATTTTGGTCACAAAGTAACAGGAAATCAATGAAGGGAGGTTTTCTTTTTTCTGAAAGAAGGAGTTAGGGCAGAAATGTTCCTAAAAAAACCTTGTAAGGTATTTTAGAGCTCAAACACTGCAGGAGAGGGAGAACATTGTCGGAAGCACAAAAACCTTTATGTGAGAAGGTGACTGTACTTATTTGTGGGGCTAGATCACTGTGGCTTTGATACCAAATGATTTAATGGAAGGATTGATAGACCTATAACTGTAGAGCTGCAGTCTGTCATTGATTTTAGTACTTGTTTAACACCATTTTAATAATTTCCAAGCAAATTTTGTCAAATATTCTCTGATTTTTGCTTCTCCAATCTACGGATTTGCGGCTTTTCTCTTACTTAATTGTAAACTGATTATCTTTTTACTTAATTATTTTTACTATTTTATACATTTATTGATTCATTTAAAAAATAATACACAGATTAACTGATAACAAAGCCAATCATTAAGTGCAGCCATCTTTTATTATAAATTATATATGATATTTGACAGGGGTGGGACAAAGTCATTGTTTTGCAAGTCATGGCTATGATGCTTTGGGTGAAGTTTCAAGTTAAGACCAACAAGTCCAGAGTAGAGTCCTAAATGTTATGTGTTAAGTCTTAAATAAATTACTTTTTGTTTGTCTGGTGACTGCTGCCATGGACTGAAAAACACATATTTCCCTCCAACTGTGTAATATGAATTGCTTCTGTCAGATAGATTGAAAGTATATTCATTGTCAGGAAAATGAAGTGTCAATTCTGTGCTGACTTGTTAAAATAAATGTAATCTTTTGAGGTGGGGAGGACATCACGTCATACCAAATCAAAAGGGTCAAGTCAAAGTAAAGCACAGTTTGGCAGTAACACATTAAAGTGATATGATTTTTTAAAGGAGTAGTGTAAGGGATTACAATTTGAAATTCAGTAAAAACATTATAGTTACTGATCCCATTAATGCTCAGTTACTTTGACACTTTAATGTTGGCTTATTTGCCTCTATTAGCCCTGTTAGCCTCTACTATGAGAGGAGAAATGTGTCTCCTAGGAATCTCCAAAGTTGTCTAATTTAAAATTTGTGTTTTCTTAGCTGGCTTGCTAATGTTAGCAACTGGTAAGGCTAAATTTAGGAATTAGCAGGTTTTATTGAGAGTTGGAGGATGTGTTAACCTCACTGCTTCACAGTGGGGACAGGACTTCCAGAGAAGGGTATACAGTCAGTGAACCAAGGCTAGCATTTGATAGTTTGTTAAACCACAATGCCTTGTTTTCTATTTCTGCACATGTTAAATTCAGAAGAGTAGAGGACCTGTTTAAAGATGTAACAGGGTTTGTACAGTGTGTGATTCCACTTGTCTTGCTTAGCAGGCATGTGCGATGTAGCTGTGCTCAGAAACAGAAGTAACGAGTACTGTAACTTATTATGTAATCTGTTGAATAATTAGTAAAGTAATGTAATGCATTTTCCAATGAGTAATGTGTAATGAGTAATTGATGATATTTTTCAAGTAACTTGCACAACACTGGAGTGAAGTCACAAGTAGCCTACTAGGTGTTACTTGGTACTTGGTGTGTTTTGTCAATGTCAAATTTTTTTTTATGCCAGGTGTATAAATATATGACACTGATTTGATTCTTGTTGTTGTTGAGACCAGTAGAGATTTTAGATTTTAGAAGCCCTAAGAAGCATTACATTTATGGATCATGATTCAGTCACTGGCCCCTGTCAAGAGCATTTCCAGGATTCTTAGTTCAATGAGGTAGCTCTGTAGCTGGTGTTCAAAGGCCAGGTGAGTTGGACTTGCTCAAGTGACTGCAGTTTAAGAGACAGATCAATTGGTGTTTTCAGAAGCTGCTTGTTGCTGTTGTCTGTGTGTGCAGCTATTTGAAAGTGCCAAACCTTTCTATGGTTTTGGAAGGCTAATAATGTTAGTACACTGTTCCTCCCAGTTTCATAGTGATCTATCTCATTTATGTGCAGTCTAAACTAATGCTTCATTTATTCAATTTTAATAATTCATATTTCCCATTACTGCTAATAAGAATAAGTGATAGAATCATATATGTTCAAGTGAAAATCTGACTTCGCTACTGATTATGTTTATCTAGGCTTTGTGTACAGATTCGCTGATTATTAGGGTTTATTTACTTTAGGCTCAATATGCTTGATTTATAGCTTTGCTTTTCTGTTCTGTTGTATAAAACCATTTCCTCTGTCTTCCAAGGTCAGTGGCACTTCATTCCTCCTCATTTACTGCTCTCACGGAAAGCGAAGTATCAGAACTCCTGACCCGTAGCTGTCCCACTACATGCCCACTGGACCTGATTCCTACCAATCTCCTCCTGTTCTCATCTGTGACACCGTGATGGTGGAATGAGCTACCACATGCCATCTCAGCAGGGGCGTCCCTCTCTAACTTCAAGAAGTTCTTGAAAACTCATCTCTTCTGAGAACACTTTCTCTTATAACACCTCTAACCCCTAACCTCTAACATGCACTTCCTGTGCTCTTCTTCTATCCCCTTACAAGTTCTCTTGTATTGATTGCACTTTTTTGTTAACTTTTACTTTTTTCCTAAGGTATTTACCCCATTGATGCCATACGTGCTATTAGCTCTTACAAGTAATTATTGCTGCCCTTACTACTATCTATTGTCAGTTGTAGATTTTGTGCTTTATTGATGCTTTGTTGATGCTTGTATGTTGTTCCTCAAATGTAAGTCGATTTGGATAAAAGTGTCCGCCAAATGAGTAAATGTAAATGTAATACATCAACCAACAACTGGACAAGTGGAGAGTGTCGACTGACAGTGTTCAATAAATATCCTAGAAAACAATTCAATGCCTTGTCCCTGACCGGACATCTGAAGCCATTCAAAATACAGACCCAGAAGATTTAGAGGTTATAGAGAGTCGGAGACTTTCTTTCATAGTCTATTCAAGCACATACTTTCTCAAACATAGCCAATATAAAAAGCCCTGCATCTTACACATAGCATTGTACTACAAGATGTACTGGCTGCCATCAAACAGCTGTGTTCAGCAGATTGTAGGAAAGACAGTCAGAGGAAAGAGCAGAGCTTTGCTCACCTCATCATTTGTGTGAGTTGCACACATGCTGAGCTACTCCTGAATTCAGCGATTTGTCTGATATTGGAGCAAACTGACAAAATCATCTTTCTGTCGGTGTGCCTCAGTGGTATAAACCAGCTTCCTGTGGTTACAAGGCCAATCTTCTTTCTCCTACATCAGATTTGTGCTGCTGCAGGGGGTTCTAACAATCCATCTGCTTTTCTGTTTTCATTTCTTGCATTTCCTCTGAGAGGTCTGAGTCTTGCCAGTCGATATGTGCTTCATGACACTTAGTGGTATTTAGCAGCTCTCACCCTGCGCTCACTCTCTCCCAACAAATGACCTAACCTAGCAAGCACAATGTGGAAAGTTGACAGTGCCATAAATCAGCGCCACCATGGCCATTTCCAGTGGCTTAAAACCCAGTCAGGCACACACTCACATCAGGTACACAGTGCATCAATGCATCTGTTATCGTTCTGCAGTCAGAGATATCTTATCTACGAGACAGAGGAAGAGAAAATTGACCCCAGAAAGAGGGTTGTGAAGGGCTCTACAGAGAAGTCTACTGAAGCTGAATGAAAAAGAATCAAATATTGATGTATTGATCCATGCTCGGATCCCTCTTGTGTCATTCTGTCTGTGTAACTATGATTTAAAATGTCATTTTCCCATAAAACTCAGCGTTTTCTCTTTTTGTCTCCAGCATGCAGAGTTTTTGTTTTCTGTTTATCTCTCTCTGAATCTTCTTTTTCTCAGGTCGCGACCACTTCTTTCTTCATTACACATTTATCATCTTTGATTGAGCAGATTGGAGAAAAAACAAGTGCAGGAGGATGAGAGTGAGAGGAAAAAGACTGCATTCATCTTCAGGAAGTTTGGCTTCCAGACTGCAGATTTATATCTTCCCTGGGAGTATGAACAAGCAAAATGTTTCCTGCCTGCTGGAGTGTGAATCAACTCATTAGAGGGCTACAGTATCATGGTGAATTATCTGTGTTCCTAGAAAGACGTGCACAGAAAAAAGCAGCACTGGCTGTTTCTTGTTAATTAATTTTGCCTTTAAATCTTTAGTTCTGTAGCAAAAAGACATGTTACGGTTTTAAGAAACATGAAAATACATTTTATAATGAAGATCAAAGCCTCTGATTACATTTGTGGGAATTGA